ATAATACCATTTTGGATAGGCTTGGTGGCTCACACCTATAATCCCACTACTTTGGGAGGCCTAGGCAGGTCGATTGCCTGAGCCCAGGGGTTTAAGACCAGCCTGGCCAACATGGCGAAATCTCATCTCTACTAAAAACACAAAAATTAGCTGGGTGCGGTGGCATGCGCCTGTAATCCCAGCACTTTGGAAGGCTGAGGTAGGCAAATCACCTGAGGTCAGGAGTTCAAAACCAGCCTGGCCAACATGGTGAAACCCCATCTCTACTAAAATTCAAAAATAAGCTGGTATGGCGGTGGGTGCCTATAATCCCAGCTACTCTGGAGGCTAAGGCATGAGAATCACTTGAACATGGGAGGCAGAGGTTTCAGTGAGTAGAAATCGTGCCACTGCACTTCAACCTGGGTGACAGAGTGAGAGTTGGTTTCAAAAAGAAAAAGAAAAAAAACGAATATTACTATTTTGTTCTCTTCTAGAGAAATTGTATAGTCTGCCCCTTCCCCACTGGTTTCCCTACGGCTCCCGTCACACCACCCCCAGGAGATAGGAAGGAGTATCCCAGCTTGAGATCAAATCCAATTTGAACCCCAGAAACACCCAAATGCTCTTCCTGGGTACCATGTACCCCTTGGACATCTGACAAATTTCTAATGATGTAGTGGGATGATAAGCGGTGAAGTCAAACAACCCCAGAGAACCCAGTTATAGAATAAAGCATTCTCTTGGGAAGTGAGAAGATTCCTGAATTCTCCACAGCTTCGAATAGAATTACATTTTATTTTTCCAGTGTAGAAAAAATGTTTCCAACTGATTTTGGGAATCTGTGGCAGGCATTTGATGTTATGTTTGGTAATGGTTTGGTCCTGGAAGGTATTGAAGTTGGAGGTGTGTTTGCTTACTGGGAAGGCATTCGTTACAGGCATTCTCTGTTAGCAGGTGTGGCCTAGCAAACTGGCTGTCAGAGCCTCCCAAGAATGATGCCAAGAGAAAGGGAGTGTTAAAGACAATGTCCTATCCTTTGTCTCTTGAGAAAGAAGTTGTCCCCAAGAAACTCAGGGATGGGCGTGGTCTCTGACATATCACACATATTGCAGTTAAGTTTGCAGAGATCCCAAACAGGGATGAATGTTCCCTCTAAGAAAAACACTGCTTATTTTTTGCTCCTGTGAACAAAATGGCTCTGAATTTACGTAATTAAAATTCTGGTGTCTTTTCAGATCATAACAATGGGTAATTAACATTGTTGCTTGTCAGCTGGGAAATACCCTGGGAGGAGGCTATCAGAGCCCAGCCTTTTTATTTTGGGCCACATCTCATGGACAATCAGGGCTAATTGAATCCCTCCCCATCTCATCGAAAATGAATGAAAGAACATTGAAAGCTGCTGGCCTGGCTCACAATCAACCCAGAAAGGCCGTGTGCTCACATAAGCTAGCTTGAGATCAGAACCTCAACCCTGCATTGAGGATGGCGCCTGACAGTCTAATTTAGGAGCGTTGCTTAAAATCTTAATCAGCACAGTAAAATGAACAGAGGCGAGTTTCAACACCATGTTTGTTGTTTATGGTTATCATTTTTAATAAACGTTAAAATGTTTTCACAGGTGTGGAAAAAGGCACGTCCCTGGGACATGGCTCTGTTAGGCCTGTACTCTCTATCAAGAAAAAAAAATGTCATCGTCGAGAATGAAGACGTAACGTATTCATCAGAGCCTGCCTGCCTTTTATTTTGTGATTCCCTGAAAGCTATCTGCACTCCTAAGCCTGAGTCCATCTTCCCTGCACAAGTGATATCTTGATTGACACATCTCCAAATAAGCTCCTGAATAGCTTTCCGTATTAGCCTCAGAATAATTCAGATGTCAAATTACGGCTCGCAGACTCCCTGACTCCACTCAAGCCCCAGAATGAATTTTTTAAATATTTGGGAGAAAATATTAAATTTTGTTCAGGTTGGGTCAAAGTTCATATCATTTGGTAATAAAGAGCCACAGAGGGTGTTTGCCTGGGGTGGGCTGTGCTGATTTTATTTTGTGCAACAGCTGCAGGTTGAGCTGACCCTTGGTAGGCGGTTTGGAGTTGGCTTGCGTGCCTGCGGCATCTATGCAGTTTGCTGTATGTTTCCTCTGGACAGAAAAGGGAACAGGGAAAGGAAGAAAGAAGAAAACACAACGAGTTTTTCTCTTCGAGCAGGACTCCTGGCTGATGTCATCTCTAAATATGCAGCTTTAATTGCTCTTCTGCAGCAATAAGGGAAGAAGAGATCTTAGTTACTTGTTTTCACCACCATTGAAACTGCACTGCTGATTCAGCCTGGATTCCTGTCTTCCAACCCATGCAGCAGCATTCCTCGCAAGCAAGACAGCAGAGCAGTGCTTGCCGGGCCGATAATGACCACTTTTCATAGTATTCGTTGGGTGCTCTGTAACGTGTGGCTGAGAAAATGCTCATTATTACCGGCTGTTTGTGCAGCTGTAAATATTTAACCAAGAATGCTACCTGCTTTGTGGAAAGACTTGCTAATTACACCTGCTTCTCTCTATAATTACATATTGTTGTAAAATTCTATGATAATGACACAACTGTGTCTTCCTCTTGCAAAGGGTAAATTTATACCAAGGGCAGCACCTGAATTTCCATAAGCAATTAGCCTACACATTTACATCCCTGTGTTTTCCTGTGATTTTATTGAAATGAAAGGTAATGAATGAAATCCAATTATAGCAGGAAGACATCTAGTGACTTGATGTTTGTTTTGAACGGCAGCTTCACTTCATAAGCAAAGTGAGGAATTAGGCTGCTGCTGAAGACAGCTGAAGCATCGGGATAAAGTAAAAATATCACTCTGATAGCAGGGACCCCGATGAGCAGCCCTTACTGGAGACTGGGGTTTCCTTGACAAAATGTTTCTGTAAAAGCTGCATATTTCTGTCTGATGAATGTGAAGTGCTGCTTTTGGGTTGTAGCCTGATTATTAGAGGAACATCACTATAAAAAAGAAGTTTCGCTCGATGCTGTAATAAAACTCAGGGCTATCATCCATAGTTCACAGGGTTTGTTGAGAGGGGGGCGGGAGGTGGGGCCTTGGAATGCTGGAACTGGGAGACTAATAATATCTGTATTTTATTATTTTAAAACATGAGCATTTCTATTCTTTTGGAAAGCTTGGCTCTGCAGGAGATGCCGAGAAATGTAGCCCCTATTTAGGCTACAAAAAAGGGCTCATTTGCTTTAATCATGAGACTGCATGTTCATAAGACGTGGATCCAAAATTCTTGAAAAACAAAAACAAAATGAGTGGCGCGTCCGTACATGTTTCCAAAATGAATATGTCTCTAACGTCTTTACTGCTTTTCCTCTTTGCTCTCACTGCAGTCTTTTCTCTCCAGCCCTCTCTCTCCCTCCGCACAGATGCAAACAGCTCAAGATGTCAGATGCAGGGAGGTGACCCATCTTTTCACAGCACAGGGGACAATTTTGCTCTGATCTCTGTGACTTCAGACACAAGCACAATTCCCAGATTATAGGCTCTCCAGCACCGTTTTCAACCTGATGATGAATTTACTTATTTCTTTAGCGGTCATGACAATTCTAACATTTTGGTAACCGTGAGGGTGATGGCGTCATCATACCATGTGGAGAAAAGAGCTACAGCCTGGGCTGGGATGACCAGTGACGGTGACCAGGCGCTGATGGGTTGTCCTGCCTGGCCCGGCCGGGGAACAGTTCTCTTCGATTTCCTCTCAGTGACTGGGCTGGAGTGTGGCTGCCTAATGGTTGGCTGTCAATACAGTAAAAATGCTAACCTGTCTTTACATCTAATCCATTCTGAGAGGGCTCTTTACATAAATGGCCTGTTCCATTTCTTCATTTTCAGAAAAGGCAATCAAATAAGACTGAGTCACACAGGCTGTTGGTACAGGATTTGTGTGTGTGCATGTGTGTGTGTTTAAAAAGCACGATGATTAATTTGGAGGCACAGCATTTTGTGTTGTCTCTGACTATTTTCTTCCTCACCGTTTTTTTTTAAGGGCTCTGAAAATCAATACTATGCTTCACTCCCATCCATCTTTATACAGTAATAAATTAAGTGGGAGTTATTGATATTTTTGGCTGAGCTTTTAAAATTTACATACTAATGACAATTAGACCCTTGTGACTGTTGATTTCTGCTGCTGTATACTGTTTGTGACTTGGGCAAAGTCTTGTCTGTTTCCTCTGCTATTCTTGAGCATCTCAGATCCTCGACCAGTTGGAGCTGTAATTCTAACAAGGGATGAGCTCAGAAAAGCTGGTCCATCTGCTGTCTTTCTCACTCCCAGGAAGAGGCACTGCAGAGGGTCACAGCATGACACCCCAGGACAGGCCAAATGACAACAGGCTGGGGCACCCATGAGGATGTGAGTTAGGGGTAGAGTCAAAATATTTAACCACTGTGGGCACTGATGCCCCTACCCCAGCAATCAGCACTGCGGTCTGGTCTGGGGTGCTGGGAGTTCCTGCTGCCTTATCAGAGGTTAACCCTTTAGGTGCTGAATTAAGGGAAGGAGAGGAAGTTCTGGGGAAAGGCCAGAGCCATGGGCAGCAAAGGGCTTGGGAAAGGGGGTTGATCACTGTTTTTCAACTGGTACAAAGCAGACCAATATTTAATCGTGGTGCAGACTGGGTGAGTTTTATCTCTATATAGGAACCCCCCTCTCCCAACTCCTCCCATGCAAATTTAGGGATCTTGAGGAAGTCACAGGAGTCTATGTGCTCTTTCTATTCCTCAAGAAAAACTAGAATTGTGCAATCTTGACATTGAGTGCCTTGCTTATCCCAAGCTTCCAAACCATTTCTGATAAACGTCAGGGTTTGGGCAGAGATGTAGACAATCACTGCTCACTCCTCTTTTGCCTCCTGCCCCACTCAAGGTAAGTGAAGGGCATCTTCTCAGCACTTGGCAAGAGTACTTGTTCTGAAGCTGGGACAGAGCCCTAGCAGGGAGGGAGTTAACGCAGCAAGGCCCGGGCCACTGTATGATTTTATTTTATAAAACCAAATCCCTCTGGACAACCTGAGTGCTACCCACAAGTAAATGACTGGAAAAAATAGCCTCTAACTGGTGAAAAGGCCTCAACTTCATTTAAGCAATTATTCAGGGGACTGGGGCAGCTTTGAAGGTAACAACAGTTTATTTGCCGAGATTAATTCGTCAGTAATATTGATTGTCGGGGGCCTGCTTCATTCTGTTTAAGATTCCACAAGGCACAGACAGCAGCAACTCGTGCGTGATTTTTCCCTCTAGAATTTCCAGGATGTCGAGGAGACGCCGTGAAGCAAGTTCTGTCAAACTAGATCTTGCCAGCCCGATCCCCAGGGTAAGGTGCGTGGGTTCTGTTTACATTTTGTCAAGGCAGCAAAATGTTGTTTGTTTACCTACAGGGATCTTTTCCCCATCCCCACTTTTTCTCCCCCAAAGTGGGTCACCCAGAAGTCCGGGCACCTAGCATGCATAGAGAACCGATAGAGCATTCTGTGACTCAACTCTGAAATCATTACGCAGAATTATCCAAATATGAAGACTGCTGAAAGTTGGGCTTCTCCGGTTTCTCATTGCATGGAGATTGCTCAGTTATATCCAACTGTCCAGGAAGTGCCTGAGCAAGAGTGTCTGCAAAGAAAGGACAGAACAGAGGAGAGGTGTGGAGGAGAACTCACTTTCATCAGAGGATCGACTTTCAGCATGGTTGGGGAGCCCAGAGCATTATTGTATTACACATGGCACTGAAATGCGCCTTGTTCTGCCCCCCCCACCCCACCCCTTTCTTCTTTCTTTTCTTTGAGTGTTTTCGAAATGAAAGAGTTTTTTCTTCCAAATTGCGCTGGGAGGCAAATTCTTGAACGGTGTAATAGAAAATGTTAGACAATATTCCTTACTGGAGCTATTGACATTTTGGATAGTTGTGACACTTTGATTTTCCTCAAAACATATGGATCAAGCCTGGCTGCATTATTGGACAGGAAGTCCTGATGAAAGGCCTGCCTTTATCTTTCTTTGTATTCCCCCCTCTCTGTTTGCTCATGGCTTTCTCTCTGAATATAATCGTGGTTTTCTTAAGCTGTCCGGGGAGTCGTTATTGCCTTACTAAATATTTCATGGTGCACAGCACACCGTACCTGCCAAATGCCTCTTATTTGTTGTCAAAAATAAAGGGTTCGTCCTTCGGAGGGAGAAAGAAAAAAGATAGAAGGTTTCTTCTATTGTTTTTATTTTCAAGTTTCTCATATGCGCCAAACGCACAGAAACGCTGGAAGCCTAGGAGGGGTGCCTTTCTATTTGCCGGGGACAAGGCTGGCCACTTATTTATTTGTGGCTTATTTATTTATCGGCTGCACGCTTTTTTTTCTATGATTCCCAGCACTTGTTTCCTTGCAGTTTTCCTTCCTATTTGTTCAGAAGGGAAAAGTTCAAAGCGGCTCTGTCAGCAGAGGGAAAAGCTTTGCTGAATACTAACCCTCCAGCGCCCGCCTGCGCTGACCTTGGAAGAGGAGCGATAAACGGTCCCATTGCAAACCGGCATGTGTGCTTGGTTAGGCCGGGTCGTCAGGGGTCAGGGCTCACCTGAGGCCAGCGGTGCAGGGCCGACCTGCCTGAGTGAGGAGTAATGCATTTTTAAAAGGGACATTCTCGCCTTTGAATGGGCCTAATATGGTCTCTGTTTAAAAACCTGTCAGAATCCCAAGCACACACTCCATAAAATATAAATAAGTACTTACTGTTTGCAGATGTTGCTTGTTTTTCATAATGTTTGTATTTGAAGCCTCGAATCCTCACTTCCTGTCAAGTGCCCTCATGCCCGCCCCCCCGCGCCTCTAGGAACAAGGAAGAGGGAACTTCAGATGGCAATTTCTCAATGAAGACACTTTCTGTCAAATCTGTCAGCGTCCCTGGCACAATTAGCATTCTCTTTTTCTTCTCTCCCTCTTTCTCGCTCCAACACAGAGGTTTATTTCTCACCACAGCTTTACCTGTGCTGGGGGAAAGCCACCTCTCTTGTTAGTGGCATTTGAAAGAGGCTTAAGTCTCAGCAAAGTGTGATTTTCTAGGCCCTGAAAAGCAATCCTGTAACTCGAGAGGCCTGTGATCTGTACACTTAGATTAATTGGAAAGAATCAGGAAGAGGACTACAGGGAGCCTCTGTCCCCATTCCTGGGGAAATTCATAGATGGGATCTCATACATCTTTGCCACCTCCATACTGGGAACCCTGTTGATAATCCATGGTGCAGGTGTCTGATTAATTCCAAAGTGCCTTTGGCAGCATCCGGCTTTTGGGACCCTGTCTCTGACCTAAGGCTCCTAGGCAGTGATCTCCCCCGTGTGTCCACCGAACGGCCTGTGACTCACTCCACAGCTCCAAACCCTCTCCTCAGAGACTCCCCTGGGAGCCTGGTGGGGAGCCACTTCTCTTTCTGTGTGTCTGGTTTCACTTCTTCCCCCACTCCCTGGCTTCCTCCTTGGTTACTATCTTCTGCCTGGATGGGGACGGTGCAGGATGGCTGGATAGGGCCATGTCTTTTTGCATGACAAAGTCAGCAGGTCATTTATTTCCACGTTCCCGTTGGACGACGCGTGGAGAGGACTGTGGAAGTTGGTATTTGTTCCGCAGCCCTCCCACCATCCGCCCGAACATTTTAATAACGCTCTCTGGAGCACCTGCCACAGGACGTGTGTGCTCTCCCTGCAAACCTGTGTACTTGCTGAAATCGGCAGTTTATGCTTGTGTTTTTTAAATGTGCTTATTTCGTACTGCTTATGCAGTCCTCCAGCTCAAAAGGCCAGCACAGCCCTTGTTTCTCAGCCCTTGCCACTTTGAAAATGGTGGGTGATGCAATTCGGGTGCTGCGTTCCCTAGACACCAAACTCCAGCATTATACGACGTGCCTATGTAACGAGCTTGCCCATGCACCCCTGAGTCTATTTTTAAAAAGCGGTGGATTACAGGGGCCCATGTGAGGTCCCCACTCTGCCTGTGAAACTCTTATTTCTTAGCTGTCCTGTTTTGAAGCCAGTAGTCACCAAGAACCTCAAGAGCTTAAACGACTCCCAAGAATCAAAGACTCCCCTTCGTCTCCTGTAGTCAGGAGATTCATGACAAATGTTATTCACTTGCAATTGACCATAATACCTATTATTAAAAAAAAAAACAAAGAAAGAAAAGCAAAAAGAGACACACACCAAGCCCTCCCTAGTCTCTAGGAGGTTTGGGGAGGATCTGATTATAAACACATGCCCAGGACAGCATGCCTGCGTGCCTGAATCAGGTCAGTGGAGTTTGCTTCTTCTTTAAAGCACAGAAACCATAAATCAAGATGAAAATCCGTCAGCCCAAAAGCCTTACCAATTGATACAATTTGAAAATGGGCAGCTGGAGAGGCTGGGGAGAAAGCTGACATGATGACTTTTATAATAGCAGAACGTTTAAGGTTATAGAAATAAAAGGAAGAGGATGAAATCAGGCCGGTTGATCTCTGCCTGCAGGCTCTCTCAGCTCACTGGAAGCTCCAGCAATTATTTCTGCTCCGGCTTTCCCCTCCTTTTTTTCCAGCAGACTGTTTGAAATGAAGCAGAACCAGGCATGGCAGGCTTATCAGTGTCGTTAGCTGACAGGGCGCCCAGCACACCTGCTTTTACTTGCTGCCGTTTCAGGCACTAATGCCACAGAGAATGTTGCTTGGGCCCTTATAATGTGTAAAGATTCATTTATTTCACCTTTTGAACCTGCCTGACCCCCTGGGCTTGTGCTGGGGAGGGGGTGGAGGGTTGCAGAGGGCTTTTTTTCCTGGCTCTTAGAAAAGGCTGGCAATTAGGGGGCTGGCCCTGGGGCTGTTGCTATGACAGAGGCTTAAAAAAGAGGTAGGAGCTCAGCCAGGGAGGTGCTGGGAGCTGGGACTGGGGGCTGGTGCAGGGCAGGACTCCCTCGCCTGCTGCCTCCCTGACTCCACTGTGTCCTGTGCGCAGAGCTGTTTAGACACCCAGGCACTCTGACTTTTGAAGACCCTACCCCATATCATCACACCATCACATGAGTTAAAATGCATCCACCTCCCACTTTCACTGCAACTGATGAAAAGATTTTTAAAAACTATTTTGCCTTTGGCTGTGAATAGCTCATTTCATTGATGATGGCTGAGTTTTCTTGGCAATCATTGTGTGAACTTCAGAATTCCTGCAAAGTGAACACTACCCTTCCAATTTTTTTAATAGAATGAGGTTTTTATAAATATTAAATTTAGCCACTAATAAGGTTGATATAACATTAAGTTTTGTACACATTTAGACATTCAATTATACACCAATTAATTTCAAGTTTATAAGTTCGGAGCCAATATATCTATACCTATATCTATATCTATATATATCTGAAACATTTTTAATAGGCCTCTGGAAAGGAACTGTAGCCTAATATCTGATACCTCAGGGCCTAATGGTACCTTTTACCCCTTGCCTTATTTTGGTATTTTTTTTTGCCTTTTCCTTTGCCTTATTTTGTTTCATACATTTTCCCTTCTGTAAGTCTTAGTTTAAGGTTATAGTTTTCTTGGAATATAAAATGTAGTTTTTATTGGTGGACATTAAACTCTTTCAAGCCTTTTGTTTTAGTTCCTTCAATTTCTTTTCTTTTTTTTTTTTGAGACAGGGTCTCACTCTGTCACTCAACCTCCCAGGCTCAAGTGATCCTCCCGCCTCAGCCTCTCAAGTAGCTGGGACTACAGATACATACCACCATGCCCAGCTAATTTTTGTATTTTTTGTAGAGATGGGGTTTCACCATATTGCCCAGGCTGGTCTTGAACTCCTGGACTCAAGTGATCTGTCTGCCTCAGCCTCCCAAAGTGTTGGGACTAGTGTCATGAACCATTGTGCCGGGCCAGTTCCTTCAATTTCATATGTCATGACTAGTACTGGAAAGTTGGGATCATATTCCTCAACCTCAGCCTGGAAATCTGGAACTTCCTTCATTTCTTAATTTCCTTCTTTTAAAGAGGTTTACTATATTGGGTGTCTGTTGTTTATACGTCATTAGCATGCTCTCCTGTTCTTCTGTGAATAGAACTCAGATTTCCCTTGGGAGAGCTGTCCCTCCCCACTGGTTCAGTCCCTTTGTCTCTAGGAGTGAGCACGTGACTCAAGCCTGCCCCAAGGGAGCACCCTATCACCCTGGCCATGGTTATTGGTTCAGTAACTTCTATATCTATTTGAAAAAAAAAGGAGCTTTCTTTTTACAGAGATTATTAACTTACAGAGTTTCTAAGAGAAGCACCAGCTAGAAAGATCCTGCCTGACATGAAAGTCAATGCAAAGTGGTTGAGGGAGAGAAGCCAAATCTTAATAAATATCATGAGGGCCCTGGATTCAGCCATGCCCCGTGCCATAAAGTCATACTGCCTCTAAAGTACTCAGTTACATGAATACTTTGCTTAAGCCAGCTGGACTTGGGTTGCTGTCACTTGCAACCAAAAGCATCCTGACAAACAGATACTCTGATATCACTGGGGCAAGTCCTACTAGAGAGATTTCATTCTGCTCCTCTATTAGGAAACAATTTGAATTAGAATGTGGAACTGGTGGGCGTAGGAGTGATGGGAAGGGGACCAAGGTTAATGGCAGGGAGGGTAATGTCACAGAGAGCGTCCCATGCACGAAGCACTGCGTTCACGTTTCCCAACAGCTCTCAAGGTTTGTTAACCCACTTTACAGATGGAAAACTGAGGTCTGAAGTTACTTAGCTCATGAGAATACAGCCTAATAAGTTTCAGATTTATCTCACCCTAAAGTGGAGCCCGCTGACCTCTAGAGCAACAGTTGGGGGTTCACATCTTAATCCTTAGGGCACAAGGACCTGGAAACTCAGGGCTTCATGTCGGTTCCTATGGTCTTGGGTTAGAGGTTCCATGAAGATTTTTTGTGTCCATTATCTCACTTTGTTCTCTCTGCAACCTGTATGGCCTTCCAACCATGGAAAATTCCATTCCTTTGAGTTCTGAAAAATTGTACACAACAGTAGTTAGACTGTCTTACCACAATGCAAATTCCAGTTAATATTTAGGTAATCAGACTGCTTGGAATGTGTGAGGGGAGGCTGGGGAGGATGGGGGCGGTGGAGGTGGCTATCAAGGGAAAACAAACTTGCCTGTGTCACAATTGTTTCAAGAGGTGGGCCTGTCAAAGAAGAACAGGCCTATGTGTGATAAAAAAGAGGAAAAGGCCTGGAAGAAGTGGGTTTTGGATTATTTTTGCCAGTTTTGTGTCTCGATGTGAGGACATTTTATATACACCTCTCCCCTTCCTCTCCTCCATCCTCCCAGCTGTGCTGCTGGGTCTCGCAGCACATCAAAGTGGAAGGATCTCAACGCCTGTCTCAGGAGGTACTTTATTAAAGCAGATGGATTGGGTTTCTGGGTGCCTCTCTTGCTGAACTCCCAGCAGAACCCCTCCAAATCTTTCATCTTGTAGCAAGGACAGGTGTATGTGCAATTAACTCTTCTGTTTCCCCAGGCTACCCAAACGAGGCAGGTATTGAAAGGAGGGTTCCAATAAGAGTAACAAGAACCCCCTGCCCTAAGTCTGCTTCTACTGGTTCTGTGGACTCTCCAGTCTGTCTTATTGTTTCTGAGACAAGGTCTTGCTCTGTTGCCCAGGCTGGAATGCAGTGGCATGATCATGGCTCACTGCAGCCTTGATTTCCTGGGCTCAAGTGATCCTCCTACCTCAGCCCTCTGAAGAGCTGGGACTACAGACATGAGCCACCATGCTTGACTAATTTTTCAGTTTTTGTAAAGACAGGGTCTTGCTATGTTGCCCAGGTTGGTATCAAACTCCTGAATTCAAATGATCTTCCTGCCTCAACCCTGCAAATCACTGGGATTATGGGAAGGAGCCACCATGCCTGGCCAAGAATTCCCTGCAACTTCTTAAACTCTTTCCAACTCATTCTGGGAGGTGTCTTCTCTGCACATACTCCCCAGTCTTCTCAGATACCATCGAGAGGCCATCATTTTTCTTGCTCCCCATCCTCAATTGTTTTGCAGCCACTGCTGCTGCTGAAGCCACCCAATGATGTCCTCTCCCATTTCTCCATGTTGTACATGGGCTCTTCTGTCTTCTGAATATTGGCTCCTTCCTGTAACCCCTCACTCTGTACGTCAATTACAGAACAGATCTGACTTGTGCTCTCAGTATTTTACAGAGATACCAATGAACCAGCTCTTTACCTTTGAATTGCTCTTTCTTTTGGCCTCCTCTTCCTAGAAGAAGTTTCCTGGCCTGGGCAGGCTGGCAATCTGAGCAGTAGACTGTCCTCTCTCACACTGGCCCACTGTTTTAGCACTACAGGTCTGTAGCTGACTTATCACTTCCTATAGGATGAATTCTTTCCCAGGAAGTCCTAGGGCTCAGTGCAAATTACCCTCCCTGCTTTGCTGGACTTGTTTTAGGTTTTCTTTTCCTTTTCTTTCTTTCTTTCTTTTTCTGAGACTGAGTCTCACTCTTGATTGCCTAGGCTGGAGTGCAATGGCATGATCTCAGCTCACTGCAACCTCCACCTCCCAGGTTCAAGCAATTCTCCTGCCTCAGCCTCTTGAGTGGCTAGGATTACAGGCACGTGCTACCAGGCCCAGCTGATTTATGTGTTTTTAGCAGAGACAGGGTTTCACCATGTTGGTCAGGCTGGTCTCAAACTCCTGAACTCAGGTGATCCACCCGTCTCGGCCTCCCAAAGTGCTGGGATTACAGGTGTGAGAAACTGCGCTCAGCTCATGTTGGATTTTCTAACTGAGGGCATCAGTACTCTGGATATTGGAGCCTCCTTGAAACTCCAAAGAGTCTGTACCAAAGAAGAGCCTGTTCCTCAAACATAAAATGCACTCCTTTGTCATTCCCCAAGCTAATGATTCTAAGAGTTTAGCATCTTTTGGTAATGTATGACTTTCCAATGGTTCTGGTTTTCTACTCTTGATGGAAAAATATTCCTGGATTTGGGAGAAGGTTTGTTTTATTGTTTAAAGTAGCAAATGCCAAGTGGGACCATGTATCAGTTGACTTCTATCTGAATCCCTTTCCTGGTGGAATTTTGTTCTTGCAGACATTGCACAGTTCAAAGTTCACAGACGTGAATTGTGAAGATTCTTCTAGATGGAAATATCTCAGCTCATAATCCTCGAAAGTGAGTAGAGCTTGATAGAGTCTGGGCATGTATGTGGCTGCACCGAGAATTAATGTGTCAGGCCTTGCTATTGTGAAATAGCTGTGGCAGGGTAATGACCATCATTCATTCTATTTTATTACTTTTTAAATGTGATTCCATTTTGGCTTTGGCAAAGGTGAGGGAATTGACTTGTATTTTCTGTTTATGCTTGATACCCAAAAGCCCCTGGGGGAAAATGACGCTAGCTAAAATCTTGCAAATTAAGGAGGTAATTTGCTAAGACTACTTGACAAACTCTAAAGTGAAAATACTGAGCTTTAGCTGTTTGGTCATCCGGATTCTTGACTCTTGCACCCATAATTAGTGAAGGAGGTATAGAGAGGGCATGGAGCCGGCATATAGTTTGTAGCGAGTGGATTTTTTACTTGAAGTGAAGTGGTGGTTAAGGTTTAGTGTCCTTAGCAGAAAAGCTGACCCTGGTATAGCAGGTACATTAGAACAGGAAGCGACTGAATGATGAAACTTCAACTGAACCTAAAAGTCCTCCATAGATCTGTTAAAGTACCTAAATTATGAGCTGGGGCACTCAGTGAGGCCCAGTAGTGGGGGCGTTCCCAGGGAAAGAGCCCATTCTAAGTGAGGACTTAAGAGCAGGTATTTGGTGCTAAGGCAGGAGACAGAATGGATTAATGGGGAGCACTATGAGTTTAAATCTCATCTGACATTTACTAGGTATGTGACTGATTTTAAAATAGATTGTTTTATCTCATTACAAAAGTTGTATAGCTTTTTATAAAGCAAAAAGAAGGGAAAAACACACCCTCAGTCTCACTCAGAAAACAATTTACTCTTAATTTTTTCATAGTTTTCTTTCTAAATCCTCTTGCATGTACAGACATACATACCTACTCATTACAAAAATAAGATTGTGCATGGAATTTAGTAACCCTCTCTTTTATGTTACATATTCTGTACACTGCCGACATCATTGTTGATGACTGCACAATGCCCCATCTTACATATCTTTTACTTTCTTATCAAATCTTCTATTGTTGGACACATACGTTGTTCCAACTCTTTACAATTACAAAATAGCCATGATAAATAATTGTAGGTAACTGTTCACCCAAGTTCAAGATTGTAGTATTTTCTTAAGAAAAAATTTCCCCAGAAGTCATATTTCCAGATGAATGAGCATGTTATAGTTTTCCGACTTGGAGTTTGTTGAGATTTTTGAATGTGTAGATACATATTTATTTATTTATTTGTTTATATCACGTTTGGGGAGATTTTGACCATTATTTCTTCAGATAATCTCTCTACCTCTTTCTCTCTCTCTTCTCTCTTGGGCTCCCGTAATGCATATATTGGTTTGCTCAATGGTGGGCCATAGTTCCTTAGGCTTGTTTACTTTTCTTCATTCTTTTTCCTTCTCAGACTTGATAATTTTAAATGACTTCTCATTAAGGTCACTGATTCTTTCCTCTGCCTATTTGAGTTTGCTCTTGAACATGCTCTTAAGAGAATTTTTCAATTCAGTTACTGTTTGTCAGCTTGACGATGTATTTGGTTGCTTTTGTTTTTTATAATTTATATTTCTTTGTTGATATTCTAATTTTGTTTATATATTGTTTCCCTGATTTTCTTGAGTTCTTTGGGTTTTCTTTGAGTTCTTTGCGCATGTTTAAGATACTTGTTTTAAAGTATTTACCTGGCACGTCTGATGCCTGTGTTTCTCAGGAACTGTTCCTGGAGATTTACTTTGTTCTTCTGAATGGACCATGTTTTCCTGTTTCTTTGTGATCTTTTGTTGAAAACTGAGCATTTAAAAAATCAGCTACCTCTCTCAGTCTTTGCAGATTTGTGGATAAGACCTTCACTAATTTGCAGGACATCTGAGCTTTGGAATCAGGCTAGCATAAAGGCTTAAAGTCTTTTCAGGTCTTTTCCAAATATTTGTCTTACCTGGGCCTACATGTGTGATTTTCCCCCCCAAAATTCTCTTGTATACACAGTTGCTTTTAAATATCTTAATTTTCTAAAGAGTTTCAACAGCTTATTCTCTGTGCCTTAGCTGTTTTATTAGACTTATCAATCAGTCATCTTTGTCTCGGGTGTCCGCGGGCCCTGTTGTTGTTCCCTTGCTGTTTTCGTAAGCCGTTCTGACTACTCCCTGCAGCCCCTTTAGCCTGAGATCCAGGTTGTGCTGTTGTTGGCTTTCTGAGCTCCAAATTAGGTGACACAGACATTGATCCCTCAGGCAGCCCCCAGATGTGTTAGACCATTGCAAATTAGATTCACTCTGCTCTCTCTGGTTTAAAGATGGGAACTGGGGATTAAGTGTCATTTCTCTCAAACCACGCCATGGCACACTAGAGAGGGGTTAAGGAAAGAATGAGTAGAAATACCATGACATTTCCTTCCATTTGAATGTAGATTTTTCTTGATTCAGTATTTGCTTGGTTGTAGATTTTTTGTTCATTTCCAGAGCTCCTATAAAGTTATTATAGCCAATCTCTAATTGTTTAATGTTTCCATGTAGGAATAAGTGCCTGGAGCTTCCAAGTCTGCCATCTTGCCAATGTCATTCCTGAGCATGCGTATTTTTAAGGTTCTTGATGAAATGAGAAGTTTTGAGGACTGTAAGAATCCTGTATCCTTTGAACTAGCATTTGCCAAAGTTTGGAACACAAATTTCTCAAGATGCTCTGGAAGAGAAGTGGGGAGGAAGAGGGTTTCCTAGTAAAATAAGGTTGGGAGTTACAGCAGACTATTGCCTGTAGATAGAGGCATATTGAAAGCTCTAGAAAGTCCTGCAATAAAGAAGCCCATTTGATTCTATTAAAGCCAATATTCCCAGACTTGACTGATCAAAAAATACTTTTGTTTTCCAAAGGATCAATCTCCTCCAGAACTCATGTTTCTGAACAAAATGTGGGAAATGCTGCTTAAAGCTTCCTGAGAGCTCATGAGAACTAATTTTCATGTAGCCAAGCTGCAATGAATTTTGTGATGTTTTCCCAAATAATCAAGGGGCTAGAACAAAGCCAGAGTGAAACCCAGGTCTAAAATCCTCATGAGTGCAGCTTGTAGCCCTGCTTCATTCATTTTCACCTATTTCTGGAAGCCCCTAACTTCCAGTCTCCAGGAGAGGAAGATGTTTCAGACAAGGCAGGATTAGACAACACCAGGCTGAGTACGGTGACTTCTTCTGGGATGTGTAAAGCAATTGTCTCAAATATAATATCTGTGTTCTTAGAAAACATTACACTATTTTCTCATTGACTTTTGTGTTTTGATACCAAAAAAAAAAAAAAAAGGATTCTCAGGCAATTTTTTTTTAATTTTGTGTGTATACGTGTGTTTTAAGCATTAGATTGCTTCATGGTCTGCACAAATAAGATTGCATGCATCAGTTTCAGTCCCTAGCATGGACTCATCATCATCAATATCTGCCACCAAGATCTGTTTGTCTTCTACTTTGGACTCTCATGAGACTTGGCATGTTGTATGAATTTCACTTTCTTAATTTTGATGAAAGCCAATAGTGTTCTCTTTCATTGTTTGATGTATCTGTGTCTTTTCTCCTCAACTAAGAGAATAAAATGCTCAAAGATAGATTACTTAGCCAGGAAAACAGAAGTCATTGTATGTACTCAAGGTTTGGAGGTCTTAATGTTGGAATTAGAGGCCTACACAAGCATTGGAAGGGCTGGGAGAATGAAAGTGAAATCCTCATCCTGAAGCGCCGTAAGTGAGTGATTCTCCAACAGCTTGCTAGGAAGGCAATTCTCAAGAAAGTCTGGGAAGCTCCTAACACCTCCTTCTACAGCACCAGAATGAGCCATTCTCGGAGTTCTCCAGAAAGCTACTGAAAACCTCATGTCATCTTATGCCATTGGCTATAATTGCCTCCAAAGAAAAATGGCTCCTTCTCTCTCACTTTCCAAATATCACACCCGTGCTTCCCATAGGCAAATTCTAACCTAGAACCACACAGGGAAGGGACTTCTGGGAAATGTAGCTCCTGGCTTCTTCCTGCTTCAGGGAGAATGAGAATCTTCTCTTGGAAGGAGACTGATGCTGAATTAACAACAGACGGCAATAGCGGAGCTAAACACCACTCTTTGCACACTAATTGGCACTAACTAATTGCCTGATGGAAATGATTGGGTGTAAGTCAAATCATTGTAGGTGAAGCTGGCCAGTTAGAACACTCTCTCTAAACATCACTGTCTTGATTGATGTCTTAACATACATTTGAGCACTATATTATTATTTACTTCATACTTTTAATCTAAATCATTACTCTTTTATTTAAATAAACGATTTCAAGAAACTTTAGATTCATTCCACAAATGAAAAAGCAATGTTATTTTTGGCACAGGAAAGATATCTATTTTAAAAAATGAAAATCAAATCAAGCTGTAATTTTCCACTAAATATGGTTGCCCTCACCCAGTCCTATCCGCTCACCATAACAGTGCCCCACCGACTCCCATTTTGACTGGAGTAGGTTCGTTTTTATGTGATTTATAGCCTAGGGGCTTCCTCCTCAGCTAGATCCTGCTATTGACCAATAGCTAAAAATATCAGAGTCCCAGTCACATATACATTTGAAGGTGCTTTAATGAGGTGAAAGCAGTGAAACTTCTAGCTGGAACTTCATTTAACTGGAAGGCACCATTTCACTTGAAGTGGATGAAGAAAGTGACTCCATGCTGTTTTAAAAAGGAAATCTGGGCCAGACACTGTGGCTCAGCACTTTGGGAAGCTGAGGTGGGCAGATCACCTGAGGTCAGGAGTTTGAGACCAGCCTGGTCAACATGGTGAAAACCCGTTTCTACTAAAAATACAAAAATTAGCCAGGTGTGGTGGCATGCATCAGTAGTCCCAGAGACTCAGGAGGCTGAGGCGGGAGAATCGCTTGAACCCAGGAGGCAGATGCTGCGGTAAGCTGAGATCGCGTCGCTGTACCCCAGCCTGGCTGACAGAGCGAGACTCTGTCTCAAACAGAAACAAAAACAAAAAATCAGGAGCTCTGCCTTGTGTAGCATCCTCCATGCATGGGTCTTAGGATCTTTTAGGGGAAAGATTTTACAGAAAAAAAAAAAAAAATCTGTCAATGGGAATTTTCCATCTAAATGAAGCCACACCTTTTATAGCATTTCAGAGTGGCCGATGTGGCCAGCCCATTGCTCTCATGATGGCTGTGGGTGAGAAGGGAGGGTATGATACCCTACACTTGGGCTGGCGAACTTCCTTACCACCCTTGCTTTATATAAACTTGGAAAGGTGAAGCAGTGTATTTAGTTTGTACAGGTTGCCAAGGGCAGAGCTGGGATGGGAACTCAGGCTGGTCTAACCACTGTACCGCGTGGGCTCTCGTTGAAGGATTCCAGGAGGCAGTGATCAGGGCTTATGGGGTCAGCTCAACTGGAGTGACGAACACAAAGGCGAGAACCTCTGGAGCTCTCTGAAATACTTCAGGGCATCAAAGCTGAGAGACTGAACTGGGACTTGCCAGCCTCTGAAACTGTGCTTTATAAACTGGTTTTAGGAGATACTCTTTGCTCCTGGTAGAATTTAAGCTGTAACATCTATTCAGAAACTTGTTTCTTATCAAATAGCTTTAGTTCAGGAATCCTTGCTCCTTAGATAACTCCCAAGTCTGCATTTGTCATGGTCCCTCACTTCTCGGGGAGTTCTCAGGAGAGAAAAGAGACCCAGGCCACAGACAGGGACAGACGTGTAGTGTGTGAGTAACCGGGCACGGACACAAACAGGCAGGGGATGGAGCTGGTGCTGGTTGACACATTGGAACCTGCCTTTGCATACACAGGAGTCTTGTCTTTGCTTCTAGAACTTATGACTGGCCTTCAGTGTCCTTTCCCCTCAGTGATATTGTTATTTGAGCTGAAGCTTTAAGTAACGAAAGTGGAAGAGGCTACTGTGTTCCAGGCACAAGAATAGGGTCATCGGTAAGTATTTCTTTGGCCAATGATGACAACAGTCATAAGAGGATAAGAGTAATTCACTTCACATCCATAAAGATGGTTATTATCCAAACAACACAAAACACGACAGAAAATAGCAAGTGTTGGCAGGGATGTGGAGAAATGCCCATTACTAGTGGGAATGCAAAATGTGGTGGCCACTGTGGAAAACATTATGGCCATTGCTCAAGAAATGAAACATGGACTTATTGTATGATCCAGCAATTCCACTTTTAGGTATCTCCCTAGAACATTGAAAGCAGGGACTGAAACCTATATTCATCCGCCAATGTTTATAGCAGCATTGTTCACAATAGCCCATAGGTAGAAGCAACTCAAATGGCCATCAGTGAATAAATAGATAAACAATATGTGAAATATACATATGATGAAATATGATTCAGCCTTAAAAGGAATGAAATTCTGATACATGCTACAACATGAATGAACCTTAGAGACCTTATGCTACGTGAAATTAGCCAGACATAAAAGGACAATTCCTATGTGATTCCACTTATACAAGGTACACAGCATAGTCAAATTCAGAGAGGAAGACAGCAGCATGGTAGTTCACATGAACTGGGGGTGGGGAATGGGGAGTTATTGTTTGATGGGCACAAATTTTCAATATGGGAAAGTAAAAGTTTTAGTTACTTTTTGAGATAGATCGTGTTGCAAAACAGTATGAATGTGTTTAATGCTACTGAATTGTACACTCAGAAAGGATGAAAATGGTAAATTTTGAATTATATATATTTTACCACTATTTACAAAAAGTTATTTACCCTTTTTATAATCGAGGAATCAGGTTATGGAGAAACAGCATAAACGTTTAACCTCAAGAGTTTCTGGCATGTGTTCCTTGTTTCTTTGCTTATTCCCTCGTCTAAGAATTTCTTCAACAAGCATTTGCGGATTATTTTATAAATGTAAAACACACTCACCCACACTATGTGCTGGGGGCTTGGGAGAGCCTCAAGGACTCACATTTAGCAGGGAGTGGGGTAGACAGTGGGGGAGAATGGGGAATGAAGACCTGGGTATGATGGTACCTCAGAAGGCAGAATGTCATAGGGGCTGATGAAGGTGGAAACGGGGGTTGGGAAGGGCAGGGAAGTGGAGAGTAACTTCTAGGTCGGGAGGCAAGGAGATCCAGAAGGGCTTAGTGCTTACTGCATGACAAGTGGTGTTCTCAGCACTTGGTACACGTTGTCTCATTTTATCCTCATAACCCCTCAGCGAGGCAGGCACTTTTATTATCCTCATTTTGCAGAGGAGGAAGGAGAAGCACAGAAAGGTTAAGACACCTGTCAAAGGACATACAGCTAGTTTTAGCAAACATGCAGTTGGGTGGGTGGTGCTCAAGGATCTTTAAGTCACTGAGTTCAGCAGGAACATGGGATGATAGAAGGGAAGTGGTATAAACAATACAGGAAGTTATTAGGGTCAGATCCTCTTAAATCTTCAATGCAGAATGATAGGGTGGACACGGCTTTAATAATTGAGTGAATCAGCCAGATGCAGTGGCTCATGCCTGTAATCCCAGTACTTTGGGAGGCTGAGGCAGGAGGATTGCTTGAGACCAGGAGATGGGAGACCAACCTGGGCAAAACAGTGAGACACTATCTGTACAAAAAAATTAAGAAAAAAATTAACTGAGTGTGCCTGTGGTCCTAGCTATTCAGGAGGCTGAGGTGGGATGGTTGCTTGAGCCTGGGAGGAAGAGGCTGCAGTGTGCTGTGATGGTGCCACTGCACTCCAGGCTGGACAACAGAGCAAGACCCTGTCTCAGAAAAGGAACCTGTCAAAGGTCACACAGCTAGTTTTAACAAACATGCTGCTGGGATGGGGGCTGACCTCCATGCTCAGAGATCTTTAGATCACTGAGCTTAGAAGGAACGTAGGATGATAGAAGAGAAGTGGTAGAAACAAGGTGTTAAAGCCAGATCCTCTTGGATCTTCAATGCAGGATGACAGTTAGACACTGTTTTAATAATTGAATGAACCAAGTTACACTATCATCTGTTCCAAAAGGAATTAGGGAAGGAGTAGCTAGTGGGAATCTTTGTGGAACAGGTAAGGGAATGGGAGGCCAGTGGCTGGGAAAACAGGGGTTTAGAGTCAGGAATGGTGGTGTTCAGTACTTAAGAATGATTATGAATGTTCACCACATAATTTCAGGAGGTGGGGCTCACTTGGGACATCTTGAAGGTGGTAGCCAGTGCCACCTCCTGATATTCATGCCCTTAAGGAGATCCCTCTCATACTGAACAGAGATGATCTGTGTACCCAATAGGACATGGGGTAATGATGGCATACAACTTCCAAGGCCAGGCATACAAGGTGTTGTGGCTTCCATCTTACCTCAATGGATCACTTGCTTTGCAGGCAGCTGACAGCCATGTTGTAAGGATGCTCAAGCAGCCCTACGTAGAATTCCAGGTGGTGAGGAATTGAGGTCTCCTGCCAACAGACATGGGAGTTAGCCACCCTGGAAATGGATTTTCCAACCCCAATTTAGCCTTCAGGTGACTGTAGCCCCACTGACATCATAACTGCAGCCTTATGAGAAAGCCTTGGACTTATATTACTCCAAATTCCAGCTCTCAAATTCCTGACCTAGAGAAATTGTGTGAGAGTAAATGTTGGTTGTTTGTTTAAGCCACTATATTTTGGGCTTAAAAGTTACCCCAAAGGTAATTTTTTATATAATGCAGACGAAATAAATAGCTACTGCAATAGCCAAATCGACTCATTCTTTGTCCTCTGTCTAGATAATAATGTTTCTTTCAGAATGAAAAAAAATGCATGGGTTATTGGTCATCGAACTGTAAGCTTAAGGAATATTTCATTCCAGCAAGGAGTAGAAGAAGCTCGCAGAATAATTCCTACATGCTGACACTCTTGATACTGTACTCTGCACTTCTTTACTGCATGGTTTCTCACCCTGGGCTGCCAGCTGCCTCACACAGATGTGACTGTGCCCTCTGGGTGAAGGGGACCTTCAAGGGCCAAAGGAAGGCATCCATGGAGAAAAGATAACATATAATGCTGGATAGAGATGGTATAGCAAAGAAATTCATTTCCAGAACTGCAGGTGCGTTCCCACCAGGATCCCTTAGCGCGCCCTCACTGACCCATGAGCTCCTTGGGGATAGGGGCCGAGCCTCATTTTCTTTATGGCTGTGTTGTTTAATCTTGGGTAGTGCACGACTGTGGACTCAACCAGAACCTGGTGATGGACGATACAGTGGTCTCCAGTTGTTTTGCTGTTATGAAGAATGCTTCCAAGAATGTCTACTGAAAAGTTTTGTTTAGTGTATCCATAGTGTAAAATCCTGTTAATAGACATCCACGTAGGGTGCTCTAGTTCCTCACTTTCTGAAGTTGGGGAGATACCCCTTATGGTAGGAGACGCAGGGGTCGTAAGGGGAGGGCAGCAGGGAGATAGACACCTCCTCCAGAGGACATTCTTGCCCTGAGGCAGGGAGATGGAAGACAGGCTTCCTGGAGTTCCTTCCTCATTGCCAGCCCCCAACTCTGGGTCACGTTTTAAGTAAACAAAGGCTGTTAGGAGGGGGTGGAGCCAGGTGGAGGGGCTCGTTCGGCTTGGGCAGGACTGCCAGTCGCACACCGTTGCCAATCCTGGCTCTGCGGGGTGTGCGGCCGGTCCCAGTTTTGAGCCCTCCTCTTCGCCCTCTGCTTCCGGCCTTTCCCTCTGCAGTGCCCCCGAGAGGCCTGATGGTGTCACCAGAGCGCACTTCTTCCTGGAAGCGGCCTGGGCCCTAGAGAAGCGGCCACGAAAGACCTGCGTGGACGGGGCGCCCATGGCACCTGGAGAGGAATCGGAGGCAAAGACACGACGAGAGTGTTCTGAGCCGAGAACACAGGAAGGAGTTCTGGCCCAGGGTCATGAGACGTCCTTGTCCCCGTTTTTCTCTGTTGGGTTGAGTTTTGAGAAGCCATTCATTGCCAGGAGCGAGAAACATGAGACTGAGGCCAAATGTATCACAGTTTGGGGCTGAGTTTTCTGTCTCCCCCCTTCCTCCCTCCCACTCTGTGCTCACACCCCTCTCAGAATGCGCCTTTGGCCCAGCAATCTGGCCTCCCCAGTCTTCTGAGCGCTGGTGGGCACCGCTGGAGGAACAGGAAGAGGACTTGGGCAGGCGCCAGCCCGGAGCAGTCTGCGCAAATGTGACTCTAAGGCGCACAGCGAGCGCTCCGGGACAGCCGCAGCCACACGGGCCACGGCGGGCAGTTGCTGCCCCTCCCTACCCAGCAATTAAGCCTAGCCTGTAACTACGGCGTGGGCCGGTGCTGTCTGGGGTTTTCTTCCCGGGCAGGTTGTGTGCTCAGGGCCCCAGGGGAATCTGGGATAAGACGCTGGGGGCGCTGCCGTGGGAAAGGCCAAGGGACACCGTCTGGACGGGTTCCCCGAGACCACGTGCTCTAAGCCCCGAATCTGATCCCAGGCAGGGTGCCCTGCCTCTCCCAGCTCCGTCTCTGCTCCCCAGCGGACCCGCTGTCTCCAGCAGACCTGGAGGTGAGCCCAGCCCCTGGCCGCGGAACTGGGAGAGAAAGGCCTTCCTGGGGCCGGGGAGGAGCTGGAACCAGGCAGGGCCCCAGTCAGAGGCGCTGCACAGGCGCTGGCCTCCTTCCGCTGCCTTTGTGTGGCTCCGATGGGAATGGTGTCCTGGGAGAGCCTCGAGTGCTTTTTCGGACTGAGTGACAGGGAGGAGGAGGGAGAATGGGAGAAGGAGGAGGGAGAAGAGGAGAGATGGGAAACAAAAAGGAGGAAGGGCAGCTTTGGGCAGCGTGGGCGGAGGCGGAGGCAGTGCAGCTCCATGCGAGATGACCTTCTGGAAACCGTAATACACAGCGTAAAAACGCCTCAGCACAGTGACAATGGGAGGGAAGGAGCCATCCCTGGTACCCGCCACAGGGAGGCCTGCTGGGGTCTCAGTGGCCAGAGCTCAGCTGGGAGCCCCTGCCTGAGAAGTCAGGCCTTTCTCTCTGGCTAGGGAAGAAGAAAAGACTGTCTATGATGGTCGTTGGGGCAGACACATTTGCAGCCCACGCAGTCCCCAACCCACACTGGCCTGCCCTGCCTGCACTAGCTTCCCCATCCACTCTTGCAGCCCGCCCAGAAATGTGGCACAGGCGATGGGGCAGCCAGCGGGAGCGGTCCTTCTGTGTTCTTTGGCTGGAAAGATCTCTGGAGCTGCTTGGGTAGTGCGCTCAGAGAAGAGGATTTGTTCCCTTAATTGATAATGAATATCAGAAAGGTCATCTTTACATTATGAGCGGGGTGGGAATTGTGTGTGTGCAAAGGTTGGGGAAAAAAATCAGAAAAATAAATGACATCCAGCTCTCTGTGTTTGCATCTCCAAAAGGGGCAGGGAAGATGATGAACCCAGGGAGACTGAGAAGCAGGAAGTGGCAGAAATGAAGGGGAGATGATGGAGGGGGAGATGATGGAGAGAGGCAGAGCAAGAGGGGAATGTGAGAAGAGAGGGAGGGAGGAAAGACAGGCCGAGGGGAGGGAGGTCCAGGGCTGGAAATAGGCAGGTGGAGGGGAGAGGTGAGCAGGTGGGCTGTTCCCATTGCAGAAGCCCATCCTGCCTCCTGGGACATGAGGGATCGTTTCTCAAATACTACCAAAGTGAAGTGCAAATAGAATCGTGTCCCTCTCCCTCATTCAACAGTTCCGTGGATTCCCCACTGATCTCAGGAGTCCAACAACACAGTTCCTCCACACGGTTCACCTGACGCTGGATGGTCCAGCCCACCTGGACCTATGCCTGCGTTTCCTTGACTAAGCTCTTCCTCCAAAAAGCCTTACCAGATACCTAAGAACACTCTCTATGTCCTGACACGGCTGGCCTCCTCGTCTGAGACATCTCACTGTGCTGTAAATGCTTGTTGAGATATCTGCCTCTCCCAGGAGACTCCGTGCTGCTGGAGGGTGAGGACCCATCACCATTGCATGCAGACACAGAGTCACCTGGCATAATATTAGTACATTGTTTGTTGCTACAAACGAACACCTGAGGTTGGGTAGTTTATAAGGAAAAGAGGTTTATTTGCTCATGGTTCTACAGTCTATACAAGAAGCACGGTCTGCATCTACTTCTGGTGAGGGCCGCTGGGAGCGTTTACTCATGGTGGAAGGTGAAGGGGGAGCAGGTATGTCACATGGAGAGAGAGGAAGCAAGAGGGAGAAAGCAGGTCCTAATTTCTTTAGCAACCAGACTGCGTGTGAACTAACAGAGTGAGTGAGAACTCACTTATCACTAAGGAGATGGTACCAAGCCATGTGTGAAGGATCCACCCCCATGACTCAGACACCTCCCACCACACTCCACTCCCACGTTGGGGATCACATTTCAATATGGTTTCAACATCCAAACCATAGCAGTGTCTGTCAGTCCCTGCTTTTTGTGGAATTGTGTGGAACCATTTAATCTCTTTTAGTAGCATCCCCCCAAAAGGGTGTTCTTCCTTCTTGTATTTGGGGAAAAGACCTTGAGGAACAGCACATCTAGTTCCTGATGGAGGTTTCAGTGTGGGGAGGGGATAAACCAGCCTCAGTTTCCCTTGGGCCATATTTTGGATGGAAAAGGAAAGCACCCACAGGAGAGGTTCCCTGTGCCCCAGAGCATTAGCAATGCGGGAATCCAAGGGCCTCCCTCTTCTCTCCTGCTGACCTCACTCCTGACCCTGGGTGGTACCGGAGGGTGAGCAGCTGCGCATAGGTATAAGCCTGTCATGCGACCATCACAGAGAGGGCCCTTCTCCACTGAGGCTGACCCAGACCCTTCTCCTGGGCTAAGCACATGTCACCTCAAACAATTTGATGCTTCTTGATGTCTTTGATGAAAAAGGCAAGAGCCAATGACTTGAGGACATTGTTTTCAGCTGGTCCCTGACTGGGAATGGCATGGCATCAGTGGGTAGGGGACTGATGAATAGCAGTTTCCCTCCATATGAGAAGGTGGGAAGGCCGGTGTGGTGGCTCAAGCCTGTAATCCCAGCACTTTGAGAGCCTGAGGCAGGTGGATCACGAGGAGTTCGAGACCAAGCCTGGCCAGCCTGGTGAAACCCAGTCTCTACTAAAGATACAAAAAATTATCTGGACATGGTGGCACGCGCCTGCAATCCCAGCTACTTGGTGGGCTAAGGCAGGAGAATTGCTTGAACCTGGAAGGCAGAGGTTGCAGTGAGCCGAGATCACACAATTGCACTCCAGCCTGGGTGACAGGGCGAGACTCCGTCTCAGAAAAGAAGAAAGGAGAAGGTGGGAAGTTACCAGTGCAGGAAGAGAGCTGTGTGTGTGTGTGTGTGCATCTATGTAAGTTTGAGTGTGTGTATGAGTCGTGTGTGTATGCACATATGTGTGTGTATGCATGGGTGTATGAGTGTGTGTATATATGTGTGTGTATGTGAATGTGTGTGAGTGTGTGTGTGTGAAAAATGATGACCCGGGGATGGCAATGGAGGAATGTGGGGGTGTCAGAATTTATTGTTCTCCAGATAGAATAGGGGAATTATTTTAGTTTATTTCTGTGAATACTTTTATCCCTTTTCTTAGAAAAAAAATATAATCTAAAAATTGTTTTTGTGTGTATTCTTTTCTACAAATGGTATCATATGATAGCCATTTATTTCCATCAAAATGGATTTGGCAGTGGGTGAGGGAGAAATTGCCACCCTCTGGCCATGCCGATTAAGTGGGCTTGTTGAGTGCACAGTAGCACTCAGTTGCTTCTGCAGTATGGCTTGGAAGTCAGAGGCTCCTCTGAGAGCCGGGGCAGGGTGGCAGAGAGGAGGGTGTGGGAGATTTCAACCTCCATGTAAGTGACCATGTTTATTCTATGTTTTCATTGCAGAATCAGGTGGGGAAGGCAGTCTTCAGAGCATTCACTCTGCCATTCTCTGTGTCCGTCATAGCAATTTCTTCTCCATGTTCATGGAACACCTGTGGGCAGCACAGTTCCAGGCACTGGTGAGTCAGTGATGTATAAAGGGGACAGCCTGCTTATTATATTTTATAATAATATTCTAAAATTATAAAAACGTATGGATGCAGTTTGGCTCTGTGTCCCCACCCAGATCTCACCTTGAATTGTAATAATCCCCACAGGTAGTGGGAGGGATCTGATGGAAGGTAATTGAATCATAGGGGCAGGTTTTTCCTGTGCTGTTCTCATGATAGTGCATAAGTCTCACAAGATCTGATGGTTTTATAAAGGGGTGTTCTCCTGCACATGCTTTCTTGCCTGTCGCCATGTAAGACATCCCCTTGCTCTTCCTTTGCCTTCCGCCATGATTGTGGGGCCTCCCCAGCCATGTGGAACTGTGAGTCCATTAAACTTCTTTCCTTTGTATATTACTCAGTCTTGGGTATGTCTTTATCAGCAGCATGAGAACTGACTAATACATATATTGAGTAGTATATCTTATAATAAAATACAATATTGTCTATCAGAAGCATTTGTTTAGTGTTATATTTATGGTAATAATAATAACAACAGCTTTCATTAATGAACCTCTCATTATGGTCAAGGCTTTGCCTCCATCACTTGCTTTAATCCCCACAGCAGCCTTTTATGGGGATACTGAATACCTTCATTTTACACACATGAAAACTGAGGCTCCTGGAAATTAAGTGGCCCAGGCTGAGACTGAGTGTAGGACCAGACTTTCAATCTCATGAAGTCTAACCACCATGTTTATTATGCGTCAGAGGGTCTCAGAGCATGGGAGTCCCTGGGCCCCCCTCTGAGCATGCTGGTGTTCAGGGGCTGGCTGCTCTAAAATGCCTGGGTCCCAGGGAGGATCAGTGCACACATCAGGGAAGCCTGGTTTCATGCAAGACGCCCTGCAATTAGTCAGTCCCTGCTTTTTGATTTAATTCTTCCCCTAATGTGTGTTCATCATGTAACTCAGGAAAGATTGGTATTCAGGGAAGGAGCATCAAAGACAGTAATTAAACTGTCTCTGCTGATGCGCTCAGTCTCTGGGAACAGACCTGTTTGATTCCGCAAAGGAAATCATTGGTATTTTAACAGGAGGCAGGAAACTTTTGATTAGCGAGTGATAGATAAACAGATCGATGCCTTTTCTGGCGACATTTTCAGCTTCATTATTGTCACTGGAAAAGAGATGGGAGTGGAGGGAAGATGAGAAGAGGTCCCCGTGGGTCCTCCAGGGTCTGAAGTGGGGGATGGGCTTGTAGGGAGGAGGGCAGTGCCAGGCTGGGCAGGGAGCCTGGGGCTGGCAGGCTTGGGGCCTTAGGAAATCAAGGCTGGACCCCTGTCCCTGAATGGGGGTTGTGGGAGGGGAAGACTCCAAAGCCCATTCCTGCATGGCTTTAGAGCTGCCCAGACAGGGGCCTGATGAGATTCTGTTGGCAGCTGAGCTTTTTCGTGATCGTCTAAACCTGTGTTCCCACCGCCCCTCCCCACAGCATCCCCCACTTGATTGCTGCTCTCTCAAGGTCAGGGGGAGTTAAGACCAGAGATTATGCAGTGTCAGTCGCGCCTTTTTGAAATATGACTCAGTGTAATCTCTTTCCACACCAGAGGAGAGATGCCAAAATCACACTTCAATCTCTAGCTCGCAATGGGCTTATTGGGATTTTAGCAGGGCTCTGGCTAGATAAGACCGTTTCTTCTCCCAGGGTGCCCTTTTACAAACTTTGGATAAGTGAGGCCATAACTTAGCGAAGGCAGATTTCCAGGTATTGGGGACCCTGTGCCCAGCTGACAGAGCAGGGGCCGGGCCACCCAGCCCCATTGGTCCCAGCACCGGTGCAGGAAGGACAAGTGGGCTCTCACAGTATGTGTCTCCTTGTGACAGTCACACATGCACAAAAATCCCAGCTCATCTTCATCTTTCTGACCCTCAGTGTCCTCATGTGCAAGGTAGAAATCAGCAAGCTCCCTCTCAAGGTCATCCTGAGATTCAGCAATGACATAGGAAAAGCCTCTGATCCCTTAGTAGGTGCTAATCAATGGGAAGTCCATTCTGCTTTCCCTGGTTTTGACCCTTGTGTTTTTAGATACCTCGTGGAGGGTGGGGGAAAAATAAAAGATAGTCAGAAAGTTCCATCATGGTACCTGAGACACATAGATAGCCGGCAATTTGCCAACCCCTACCTTCCCCAAGCACATCAGAGAAATCCACCTGCAGTCGAACCCTCCCCAGAGACATAGAGTCTCTGTGGTTCTGTCACTATATGGTCCATGTGTCTGCTACCTTGAATCATTGGCTAAGCTTGACTCACTGCCCCACTCCTTGGCCAGGAGACACAGTGTTCAAACAACTGGAGAATCTCATTGGCTAAGCCTGACTCACTGCCCCACCCATTGGCAGAGCACTTGATTGGCAAAAGGAAAGGGGTTGGGGGGAGCCAGTTGGTGAAGAGGTGCTTGCTGGTAGCAAAGGGACAATGTGTGTTATTCAGGTGCCAAGATTCCAGGCTTTGGGTTCCTGCTTCATCATGTGGTGCTCTGAGTTTTCCCCTAAGCACCTTCTCTAGCTTTTCTCACTCCTCCTGTGTGTGTGCTCCCATTCTGCCTTGATAATCTCTGTTATGGAGAGATTTTGACTGCACAGGCCTTGGAGTCCAATGGCTCTGCTGGCTCTGGAAGCCAGGAGCTCAGTGCAGGCCCCTTAGCTGAGCCTCATATACAAAGCCCATCACTTTGTATGGCTGTGAGGAGGTTGAAATAAGATCATGGGTGCAACATGCTTAGTTCACTGCCCAGCACAAGGTGAGGGCTCCATAAATGTAGGTATAGCAGCATCTGCTCCTACTGACCCATTTTCCTCCTTAGGGCTTGGAGAGAGACTTTCTAATCTCTTGATGGGGCATAAGTAGATACAAAGTAAAGTGAGATTCTTAGGAAAATCATCTTTCCTGAGCTCAAGTGTTGATGATCCTTGTCGTGGCCAGTTATTGTTTGCTGCCTAACATCCATCCCTTCTGCCTCTGTACTCCTTTTATGGTAAAACCAATGAGTGGCTTTCCACAGTCTTCCCCTTGGTAAGACTGTCAATCAAGTGCTCTGCCAATGAGTGGGGCAGGGAGTCAAGCTTAGCCAATGAGATTCTCCTATTGTTTCAATGCTCTTCCTTCTGGCCAGTGGTAGGACCATGAGTGAATCTTAGCCAATGAGATTCTCCTATTGTTGGAACCTGTCTGTCCTGGCCAATGGTTGGGGCGGCGAGTCAAGCTCAGTGAATGAGATTCTCCTATTCTTTTAACTTCTGTCTCCTGGCCAGTGGGTGGGGCAGCGAGTCAAACTCAGCCAATGAGATTCTCCTATTGTTGGAACCTGTCTGTCCTGGCCAATGGTTGGGGGCGGCGAGTCAAGCTCAGTGAATGAGATTCTCCTATTCTTTTAACTTCTGTCTCCTGGCCAGTGGGTGGGGCAGCGAGTCAAACTTAGCCAATGAGATTCTCCTATTGTTTGAGCCTCTCTCTCCTGGCCAATGGGTGGGTACCTCATCAGAGTTCAGCCATTAAGATCTACTGTCTCAAGATGAAAAGTGAATGGTTGGAGTTTGGTTCCAATCTCAGCAGACTTTGTAGAGGCTCTTGCTCCCCAGGTCCCTCACAGTTGTCCCTTTTGAGCCTAGCACTTTGGCTGATTTTGAGAGCTACCCCACACCTTTCAAGAGAGGTCCCCTCTGTGCTTAGGCCAGCCAGGGTTGGTTTCTGTTGCTTGTCTCCAAAGAGCCCTGACAGGCCCAGTCTGTCTCCCTCAGGTATTAAAAGAGGGAGATGAAATCAAGGGCAAGGGAGCATGCCTTGGGTTATGAGGGATCACTCCTTGGGTTATGAGGGAGCACTCCTTGGGTTATCTGTGATGAGGGGAGGAAGAACAATCCCCTGCCTTCCTCTTCCTCCCCTTAGCCACCCCCTTCTCCCTCATCCTACTATCATGGGCTGACCCATAGGAAGTCATCATGGAAAGAGGGTCAGGAACATTTTGTGAGCAACCTCAGACGCCAGCAAAGCTCTTCCAAGAGGGTCCTTAGCTTTGCCCTCTTAATGAATCCTCATCCGTTACTCAGGCTCTGGTGTTAAGATTCATCTTGGATCTCCTCCTGCCTTTGCTTGCATTTTGTTATTGTTTTGTTCTCTCTCTTATCTCCCAGTAGCTATTTCCCAAGACTCACTGAATTCAGATGTTGGCAACTTCCTGGCAGGAGCTGCCTCTGATTTCTGGTAAGAGGAGGGGAGCTGCCATGGCCAAGGGGACTTGCTGTGATTTTCCTCTTCTCCCTAAATCCCCCAAACCCTCAGGTGCAAGCAGACTGTATGTAGGTGGGTAGGGCCTCCCACTCATTTTCCCTTTGGTCTCTGAAGGCTTCCAGATCCTCATGGCATCCAGGCCTACTTAGGGCAGCTGCATTAGCCCTGACCCTGGCTCAGAGTAAGGCTTGGGGGTGAGAGGAGGCTGGTATCCCTTCTGATTGCCTATTGACCCTTGAATCGTTAGCTGCTTGGAATCAAATGTTCCTGACCGGCAGACTCTGGTGGGCATATAGCCATGAGATCAGTCAGGACTGCCTGATATATCTGTGGCCTGGCTCATTCAAAATCAATGCCATGTTCCTCTCAAATAGAGGCTCCCTGGGAGGATGCATTGATTTCTGGGCCATAAAGAATCCAGTGCTTCCAAACCGCAATGCTGAAATTCCCATTGTCTTTTCAGCTCCTGCTGGAGGCCAGATGCAATATTTCTCCCCACTTCCTTGGAGAGTGCTCCACTGTTTTTAGAATATGGTGCTGGCTAATGCTAGGCCACCCCATGGAGAGGGAGAAGGCCACGATTCTCTCATCCCCCACACATGGGACAGGCTGGCTTCCTAAACACCCTTCAACCCTATTTCAGAATTACTATTATAATGTTTTTTTCTCCTTCCCTCTGTTTTGCAAACCATTTTCAAGTCACCAAACCCAAATCAAGTAGACGCAAATCAAATAGCAAG